AGGGCCTTCTCCCTGTTCTAGGAGCTTTCCCTCTGGCAGAGCACTCACACTAAAGCAGGCCAGCAGCTCCATCTTGCTTATACCAGAGCTGGGGTTGACAGTGGGTTCCAAGCCTGGTGGGGTTGGCTGCTCCTCCTCTTGTTCCAGGTATTCCCCAATCGTCCGTAGCACACTGCGCCGGCCCTCTGGGCGAAAGGCATCCCAGAAGGAGCAGTTGTCTGGGAGACTGGAGAGCAGTAGGGCCCGACCCAGCATCCCCTGGGCCTCAGCACCCCCAGCCCCTGGACCCAAGAGGAAGGTCAGCAGGCGGAGGAGATAGTGTAGGCGTGTGGCGTGAGCAAGGGCTGGCACAGAGGACTGACAGCGTGGCAACTGGGATAGCATGCCAAGGAGGAAGGGGCCAGGGGTCAGACAGAGTGGGGATGGTCCCAGTGGTGGTAGAGAGGGCAGAAGGGGGCCCAGCAGCCCTTCTAGGAAGCACGTGTCATTGCCCCCACGACTTATCCGGCACTGGCCTGCTAGCCAAGGCCAGAAGGGCACCAGGGCCTCATACATGGTGTCATTGGCACAGACCATCACCAGGAAGCTGCCCCCATCTGGGCAGCGTTCCCCACAGGGTCCAATGTGGCAGGGTGGGGAAGCAGTGACATCTGAGGTGGGGCCCTGGCACACATGCTGGACCCAAGCCTGGTTGCTGGGGGGCACAGCCTGTAGACTTGCCTCCCCACACAGTCGCTCAGCCCACAGAGTCTCGTTCTCCAAGAAGCAGCCCCAAAAGATGTCTGGGGTGAGGGGAACAGGGGGCAGGCCTTCAGGACAGCTGGTAGGGGGTGGGAGCAGGCCAGCACAGAGCCGCTTCACCAGGCGGCGGTTGGAGCCAGACAGGGCTGAAAAGGAGAGGTTACTACAGATCGCATTCAAAAACTCATCGGGAAACTGGTCATGACAGGCCTGTAGCCAGCCTTGGGCACCTGGTGCCCATGAGACTGCATACCACACAGCGGTCTGGCAGATGGCAATGGTGCTGGGAGGGGGCTGTGGAGTGACAGGCTTGGTGTGTTGGCAGAGCAAGTGGATGGAGAAGTTGGAAATGCTGTAGGGTGGTGCTGGGCCTGAGTGGTTCTCACAGAGGGCCTCCACAGTGATGGCTCGCCGTTGGCGTGGGCTGATGTGGGCTGAGGGCTGAGAAGCTCTGGGCAGAGGCACACCTGCGCTCAGGCAGTGAAGGAGGGCAGGGGGTGGGGGTGGTGATCCAGACAGAAAGCCCAGCGCCTGGACATCCCAGGAAAGGTTGTGCCGGACGCCCCTGGGTGCAGAGGGAGGAGCAGGCAGGATCTGGTCAGTTCACATTTCCTCTGGCTGAAGATTCTGACCCTGACCCAGAGCCCTCAAGGGGCATGGCAAGCATAGGCTTTTCTACAAGCGAGGTCCCTGAGAGTTTAGGCATTACTGGTTGAAATGCTGCGACAGGGCAAAAAGGAGACAGCTGCCCCGCCAAGCTCCAAAATCACCTAGGAGAAGCCCCAGTTGGAATGCTTTCTGTCCACCTTTCTGTCTGCTCCCTTCTGTCTCCTTTCTTCATATGCTTTCAGATAGCTTAAACACAACCCTCAGCGGGCCTCCTGTTAGGAAATCTGCTCAGCAACTCAATATGTCTAACTATGCTCTGGCACTGTTGTACTGAAGTAGGAAGAGGGTAGAGGAATCCAGCTGTGTCCTTATTTTCCAAATCCCACCTTTACTAGCTAACATTATTAAGCACTATGTGCCGGCACTGTTTTAAGTTGTTTGCACACACAGTATCAACTCATTTAATTGGGCGCAACAACTCTGTGGTAACTAATATTATCATTCTCATTTTATAAATGGGGAAACTGAGGTATAGAAAGATTATGTAACCTGCCCAAGGTCATATGGCTAGGAAGACGTGGAGCTGGGACACCAACCCAGACAGTCACACTCCAAAACCACTAAACCACACTCCTCCCATCAGTTTTCCTCTCTAGAGGCTGATGTCGTCAGCTCTCCACCTCTAGATTTTCCAGGCCCAATCCCTCAGAACTGGTCCCCTCTTACTTACCATAAGAGCAGCTGTTGAAGGTTACCTAGGAGGGAAAGAGTAAGGAAGAGAACTACCCCAATTTCACTTTCCTTGCCCTGCCACATCCCAGCCCCAGCCCTGGCCACACTCACCTCCCTGGCACTGCCCATTGGCATCAGGCTCTGGCTGCCCCAGAATGGAAAAGACCTCATCCTGCAGGGAGTGAGTGACACGGAGCAGCCCCTCCTGAAAGGCAGCATAGAGGGGGGCCCCCACTGTGCGTAGCAGACCGCCCCAAAGCGCCTCCTCGGAGCCTAGCTCCCCTGTTGGGGTAAGCAAACCCAACAGACCCTGCAAAAAGTGAGGAGCTGCCTCCCTCCCATCGAGGCCTGTGGCATTGGTGGGATCCACACTGGGCTGCACCTGCACCAGAGCTTGCCAGCGTGTGCCCTCTAACAACAACAGCAGAGAAGGCAACCAGTCAGCAGCCATGACACAGTCAGAGGGCCCATTACGGGTGCACGGGGGCCGAGTTGGGGTAGGGGGGCCCCCAGGAACTAAGGCTCCCAGCAACACCTCCACAAGTCCACCCAGCACCCCTGCCTGGTGCACCAGGAAATCTCGGGGAGTCTGCTCCTGTCCCAGCAGTGCCAGCAGATCCCCCAGCAGCCCTAGCATTGGCTCCCAGTCGGGGCTGCCTCTCAGTGTCACTAGAAAATCATGGAGCCGGAGAGCAGGTGGCTGGAGAGGTGGGGGCTCTCCTACTGGTCCTTCCTCCATTCTCCCAGGCTCAAAGGAAGAAGAAATGTTGGCCAGGAATGTAGAGAACTGTGAGCGGCTCCGGGAGCCCTGGGAAGCCTGGTGCAGAGTGGAGAGCAATGACTTCAGGAAGGAGAGACCAGGGCCCAGGGACTGAGGCCCAGTAGGTGCAAGAGTCACTGTAAGGAGAGAAACCAGAGGTCACTAAAGGGGAGGAATATAGAGCCCAAACTCAACCCTGCAAATGAGCACAGTTCCCTACCTGGATCTAAAGATGAGGTGACGGGATGGTGAGCTGAACCCCCTTCATTGGCCCATAGTAAGTCTTGGCCTGCTTTTCTTAGCCCTCATTTTTTACTTTTGCATAAGTCTCTGCCTCTCTCCTTTGTCCTTCTATCTAACAGGTTAACCTCCACATTCTTAAAAGTCTTTTTCCAGCCACCCTCCTCCTCATCCCCAGTTCTGTTCACTGTTCTTCTCACCTGCAAAGGACAGCAGCAGCAGCAGTAGCAGCAGGGGCCAGAGGCTCAGAGCCATGTTTCCAGGTGAACACTGGTACCGGAGGGGAGTTCTGGTTATTCTCAACTGTGTGGGTTAGCCAGGTGAGGGCAGGGCACTGCAGGCAGCCTGAGGCTCCACTGACACTGTAGTGTGGTCTTTCAGGAAACAATATCTGTAACCTGACAGCAGGTTTGTTACCTGAGCCACTGAATATCTGATCCTTTGGCTCTGGAGAAGGGTAGGCTTCTGTGAAAGGGACCAATGATAGGGGATCCCAGGGGCCCCTCAGAGGAACCCAAGGAGATTGCTTGAGTTATGAGCCCGTGATGCAGAAAGGAATAGGCAGACATGGAGATGGCGAACTGGAGAACAGGTGTGTAAGGCTGTAATCTGGGGTTCTGCAGAAACATAGAAAACAAAGAGGATATGAAGGAGCTAAGAAGCAAGTAGGATTTGAAGAAATTGAGGAAGAAAGGATGCCCAGGAGCAAGAAACTGGGCAGCAAGGTATAAACAGATGAGAAATGAAGACAGAGGTCTGTTCCAAGGATGGAGAATTCAGGAAGAGGAAAGCTGCTTTCGACTCACTACCCAGAACCACAGAGTGTCAAGAGCTGAGCAGTACCCCAGAGATCACATAGACCAAACTTTTCAACTTATGGATAAGGAAACAGACCCAGAGAAATGTGACTTGCTCATTAGGCCATTCAAATGTTTTGGTTTTCCCTTCCCCCTGGGATCCCCTATTATTTGGTTCTTTCTCTGTGGCCTAAGTGAAAGCCCTCTCAAAAACTCCGAGCTGAGAAGAGAGAAACCCAACTAAATCACTACGCACAGGGACTGATCTCCCTACACACAGAACTGCTCATGGAACAGAGAGAGAAAGAGATGTCATTCAAAATAATCTGGTCTGGTCAGGGTTAGAAGTCTTTTTTGTTGTTTTTGTTTTTTGTTTTTTGAGTTTTTGGTTTTGGTTTTTTGAGATGGACTCTCTCTCTGTCGCCCAGGCTGGAGTGCAGTGGGGCTATCTCACCACTGCAATCTCTGCCTCCCTGGTTCAAGCGATTTTCCTGCCTCAGCCTCCCGAGTAGCTGGGATTATAGGTGTGAACCACTACTGCCTAATTTTTGTATTTTTAGTAGAGATGGGGTTTCACCATGTTGACCAGGCAGGTCTTGAACTCCTGACCTCAAGTGATCTGCCCACCTCAGCTTCCCAAAATGTTGGCGTTACAGGTGTGAGCCACGATGCCATTTTTTTCCTTTTTCTTTTTTTTTCTTTTTTTTTTTTTCTGAGATGAGTCTCACTCTGTTACCCAGGCTGGATTGCAGTGGCACTATCTTGGCTGACTGCAATTTCTGCCTCCTTGGTTCAAGCGATTATCCTGCCTCAGCCTCCCAAGTAGCTGGGGACTACAGGCACGCACCACCATGCACAGCTAATTTTTGTATTTTTTGGTGGAGACAGGGTTTCACTATGTTTCCCAAGCTGGTCTTGAACTCCTGACCTCAAGTGATTTGTCCACCTCGGCCTCCCAAAGTGCTGAGATTACAGGCTTGAGCCACCGCCCTAGGCCAGGGTTAGAAGTCTTTTCCATTCTCCATTTATATCTCCCCAAAGGCCTTCACTTTACACCAACTCTAAAAGCAATTCAACACTGAAGCTACACCCAAACTTTCATTCTGTCCTCCTTTCCCTAGAACCCTTCCCCATTCTCTCTCTCAAATCCACACATGGAACTTCATTATTAATGTGCTTCTGATCTAGGATATTCACTTAGGATCACGGAGTTTTATTTTTATATATTTATTTATTTAGAGACAGGGTCTTGGTCTGTGGCCCAGGCTGGAATATTGTGGTATTATCCTAGCTCACTGCACCCTCGAACTCCTGGACTCAAGCAGTCCTCCTGCCTCGGCCTCCCAGGATCACAGAAGAGACCTGAGGAATCCTCTGGTAAGAACTTCTCATTTTATAGACAGGGGAATTGAAGCCCAAAGAAATGGAATGACTTAACCTAGGTCACAAAGACAGCTGGGAGCAATGATGGGATTTTCCAAGGCAAATCAAAAGTTGAGATGTGTGAAATGATCTGTTGTGTAATTTTACCAACATTCCCTTTGCCCATCAAGGATACCACATCTAGTCTAAAAAGCAGACAGATGAATCTGAGGGAGAATATGACCTGAGTTCCCAACAGCTTTCCGGTTCCAGCACATCCTGTAATCCTTCTGAATTTCTGCCCTTCATTCTGTAACAACCCTCTTATAATAAATTCTCTTTTTTCCCTCATAGGGTAGCAAAAAATGAGATGGTCTAGGTTCAAACCCTAGTTCCAGCATTTACTAGCTGCGTGTCCTGGGGCAGTTTCTAAATCTCTGTTTTTGGTTTTTTGTTGTTGTGGTTGTTGTTGCTGTTGTTGTTTTTACTGTAAAAAGGAAAAAAATCCTAGTGTAGAGTTTTTGTGAGGATTAGATAATGCATTTAAAGTGCTTAGTGCAATGTCTAGCATTCATTCAACAAAGATTAAGCACTTATTACGTGCCAGACACTGGTACAGAATAAACATTCACTCAATGTTACCATTACTATATTAGAATAGCTCAAGATGATTTTTTCTACTTGAAACTAAAGGAGTTCTAATGAAGACATAAATGATTATGTGGAAGTTGTATCTTGAGTGAAAGACCTTCAGAACAAATATGGAACTAGTTGAGTCAACCAGAGAGAGAAACAATGAGGATTCCCTCAACTCAGCATGGAAAATTTCCTGGCAGTCCACGTTCTGTGGTTGTAAGCCATTGATTAAGCAATTCTCTTGCTGCTAAGGATTCAGACTATGTGCAAACTGAGGGCGAAGTGCTTAGGGTTTATGGCAAATATACCAGGCTATTTGAGTGTATTGGTTATTGCTTATAATTTGATAAAGTTCAACAAGAGCGAGACAAGTTCCAGCCTACAGATGACCAAATGGAAACAGAGAACAACCAGCAAATTTAAATTACAAGGGTCCAGAACAAGAAATTAACCATATGTCCTGCTAAAATGAAATGGATAAGACTGGTGATAACTAGAACACTCTGTGATCTGCCAGTTAGAATGGATATACCTGGGAAGAGCCACAGGAGTTGAGAACTCTGAAACATCCTCACTCCCCAAAACTCCCACAGGGCACTCTCTGCCTGACAAGAACAGATGCCTCCCTAGCCGGTCGCGGTGGCTCAGGCTTGTAATCCCAGCACTTTGGGAGGCCAAGGCGGGCGGATCATGAGGTCAAGAGATTGAGACCATCTTGGCCAACATAGTGAAACCCTGTCTCTACTAAAAAATACAAAAAAATCAGCTGGGCGTGGTGGCATGTGCCTGTAATCCCAGCTACTTGGGAGGCTGAGGCAGGAGAATCGCTTGAAACTGGTAGGCGGAGGTTGCAGTGAGCCGAGATCGCACCACTGCACTCCAGCCTGGGAAACAAGAGTGAAACTCTGTCTCAAAAAACAAAAAACAACAACAAAAAGACCCATATGCCTCCTTTTTTTTTTTTTTTTTTTAACTGAGTCTCACTCTGTCACCCAGGCCGCAGTGCAGTGGTGTCATCTCAGCTCACTGCAACCTCCATCTCCCGGGTTCAAGCAATTCTCATGCTTCAGCCTCCTGAGTAGCTGGGATTATTGGTGTGCACCACCATGCGCAGCTGGTTTTTTTTGTATTTTTAGTAGAGACAGGGTTTCGCCACATTGCCCAGGCTGGTCTCAAACTCCCGAGCTCAGGCAATTCGCCTGCCTCGGCCTCCCAAGTGCTAGGATTACAGGCATGAGCCACCGCACTCAGCCAGATGCCTCCCTTTGTAAAGTACAATTATTTTTCTCTCTTTTTTGTTTTGGATTTTGTAACTGAAATATTAATTGCTTACTAGATATCTAGGTGTTCCTCACATTTCCCAGATCTCTTGCAGTTAGGTGGGCTCAGGTGATTAGTTCTGTTCAATGGACTGTGGTTGACCAAAGAATTTAAGAGCTAGCAAATGAGCCTCCAACAATCTCTTCGCTGTTGAGGCAACCTAGAAACTACATGTTGAGATGGCAGTGTCACAAGGTCAAAATAGCCCAAGGCTCCAAACTACCACAGCATTTACAGTCAGTCTTCGACACTTGTGAGTTCTGTATTAGTGGATTTGCCTAGTCACTAAATGTGTTTGTAACCCAAAATCAATACTTACAGTGCTACTGAGGTCATTCACAGACTTGTATTGAGAGGTGACAAGTTTGAGTCACCTGATACACATATTCCCAGCTGAAGTGGAACAAGGCAGTGCTGTGCCTTCTTTTCTTGTTGCAGCTCTCGTGGTGTAAATATTAGTGTCTCTTTTTTTTTTTTTTTTTTTTTTTTTTGAGACGGAGTCTTGCTGTGTCACCAGGCGGGAGTGCAGTGGTGATCTCAGCTCACTGCAACCTCCGACCCCCTCATTCAAGTGATTCTCCTCCCTCAGCCTCCTGAGTAGCTGGGATTACAGACACGTGCCACCACCCCAGCTATTTTTTGTATTTTTAGTAGAGACGGGGTTTCACCATGTTAGCCAGGATAGTCTCAATCTCCTGACCTCATGATCCGCCCACCTCAGCCTCCCAAAGTGCTGGGATTTCAGGCGTGACCACTGTGCCCGGCCAGTGAGTGTCTTTTTTAAGGTCTATCTAGTGATGCACTTTTTGCATTTTGGGGCTATTTGTTGGTGATTTCACTGTTTAAAATGGCTCTTACGCTTAATGCCAAAGTGTTGTGCGGTGTTCTTAAGAGCAAGAAGGCTGTAATGTGCCTTATAAACTATGCTAGAAACGCTTCATTCATTGCCAGGCGAGGTGGCTCACGCCTGTAATCCCAGCACTTTGGGAGGCTGAGGCAGGTGGATCACCTGAGGTCAAGAGTTCAAGACCAGCCTGGCCAACCTGGTGAAACTCCGTCTCCACTAAAAACACAAAAATTAGCTGGGCGCGGTAGCGGGCACGTGTAATCCCAGCTACTCAGCAGGCTGAGGCAGGAGAATCACTTGAACCCGGGAGGCAGATATTGCAGTGAGCCGAGATCACTCCATTGCACTCCAGCCTGGGTGACAGAGCGAAACTCTGTCTCAAAAAAAAAAAGAAAAGAAAAGAAAAGAAAAGCTTCATTCAGGCATGAGTCACAGT